TTTTTTAAAAAAAAAAAAAAAAAAAAAGCGCCATGCGCTGCGACGCTTTTATTTTACTTACCTGGCGGCGCTCCAGGTCTTCGGCAGCGGGACCTTCACTCGCCCCGGGTCTTCGGCGACATTTCGGCGTCGGGCCCTTCAGTGCCGCCGAAGACCCGGAGCGCCGTCGGGTGAGTAAAAGCGCTGCAGTGGGTGGTGTCCTTTTTTTTTTTTTTTTAATTGCTTCCCCTGTTCCCTCCACCTGGCTATGCCACTGTGCTGTAGCCCCAGCGCAGAAAGCTGTACGCCTCTCATCGGCGTGGTTTTTTTTTTTTAACAGCGTTGCAACTGTGCAATTTCTGCGCACTAAGTGGCTTGGCAGTGTGTACCCCTCAGAAGTTACAGCTCAGAAAGCTGCTTTACTGTGCAGAAACTTGCCAGTGTAGTCAAGGCCTAGAGTGTCACAGCTAAATACAAGATTGAACAGATAGTTTAGTATAAGTAGTTAACACATATTCTAAGGGACCGTTCAAGGTGAAGTGGCTTATTAACACCCCTGTAGTCATAGGACAAAAAGGGAGGTTAGTGGGTTACAGATTGTTGTAATAAACCGTAAATTCAGTGTCTTTATTAAGACCATGATTTTTAGTGTCTAGCAAAGTTCTAAATTTATACTCCCAGGCTCGTCTTTTGAAAGTGTTGCGCAGGTTTCCTTTGAGGATGAGGACTGATAGGTCAGATATGGAATGATTGCTTTGCAAGAAGTGTGAACCCTAGGGGTGATAGTGGCTTTGTCTACATTACACAGCTTCTAGCGACACGGCCATGTCGACACGGCCGTGTCGCTAATAGTCAGTCAGTGTAAACGCTGTTTGTCACCACTTTTGCCGACAAAATACTTCCACTGTGTATGAGCGGGGTTCTTGTTCTCAACAGGAGAGCGCTCCTGCCAAGAACGAGCCGTTTACACTGCCACTTGCCGCGGCAAAACTTTTGTCTTGGGTGGGTGGGACACGGTTCTTTAAGCACCTGTGAACGACAAAAGTTTTGTCATTCAATTGGTAGTGTAGACAAAGTCAGTGTGTTTTTATCTTTTATTATTTTCCTGTGTGAGTTCATTGGAAAGTTTAGTGATCGTCTGGTTTCACCCACATAGTTGTTATGGGGGCAGGTAGTGCACTGGGTGAGGCACACCACATGTGATAGGCAAGTGTAGGACCCATGGATTTTGAAAGGTGTGTGGGATGGGGTATGGATCATTGTAACTGTGGAGATATGTCTGCAGGTTTTGCATCTGTTGTTCTGGCACGGTCTGGTGCTGCTTTGAGTTGGTGTGTCCTGGTCTGAGGGGAGCCTGCTTCTGATGATGAGCTTGGAGACGTTGGGGGGTGTTTGAAGGCCAGAAAAGGGAGTTCAGGAAAGAGTTATTTCAGGATGGGGCCCCACTGAATGTGAGTTGTAGTTGTTTGATGATGCCCCGTATAGATTCCAGTGTGGGGTGGTAGGTGACAACTAGGGGTGTTTGACGGGAGAGGGTTTTATTTCTGTATTGAGGCAGGTTCTCTTGGGATATTTGGGTGGCCCACTCCATAATGTGATCTACTTCTCCGATGGAGTGTCCTAATTTGGTATAGGCTGTTTTTGAATGTGTAAGATATATACTCTGGACTTTCTCCTCGGAGCATATTCTGTGGTATCTGAGTGCCTGGCTGTAGATAACAGATTTCTTGGTGTTGGGGAGATTATTGGATCTATGAAGGTAAGTGTGGTGATCCAAGAGTTTTGTGCTGGAAAAACCTCTGCAATATTATGTTACTGTATTCTGGCTAGCAATGCAGTTCCTATTCTAAGTCTGATTTTTCTAATTTGGTCCTTTAGGAACAAAATTTATGTTTGATATTTTATGTTTAATGTAGCAGTTAAAAGTCACATTAAATATTACATATGCCATTAACGACTTACTGTTTTTCTTCAGTATCTGACATCGAAGGTGGTGATGGATTGCAGCTCCGAAAGGAACATGCACTCAAGATATTTGCTTATATCAACTCCTGGACGCAAAGGTATTTTCATCAGTGTCTTTAAACTCATCATATTGGACCCCATTTGTTGTAAAAATTATGCGGGAAATAGAGTGAATGGAATAAGTAGAGTGAGTACAATATTGTAGTGTGACTAAAATGATGGGAGAATAAAGGAAATTCTGGCCTTCATTTACATGTAGCCACTTTTGTGCCCCATGTCTCCTGCTAGGTGTGTGTAGAACACACCTTTGAAGCACTGGCTGGCATTCCAGAAGCTGTTGAAGAACATAGCAGTAAACAGGCTAAATGATAGTAATGAAAAATATTATAAAACCTTACATATGCTGTTGCTTAATGTGAACTATCCTGCCACATACATTTTTTTTCTAAAGAGAATGGGGGGAAAATCAAGAATTATTACTTTGAATTTCAGTGTCTTATGAAAAAACAATGAGGAGTCCTTGTGGCACCTTAGAGACTAACAAATTTATTTGGGCATAAGCTTTCGTGGGCTAGAACCCACTCTGAAAAGTGTTTTATGAGGATTTTTTCACAATATCTTGGTGTTGACTCAACAAGATGAACACATGCAGTCCATAGCTACCATTATAAAATACATAAATAATTTAAAACTCCCGAACAGTAGTTGGGATCGTGTAATTCTCTGTGAGTGTCTGGAAATAAATGGGATGCCCACAGGGATTAATGAGGTCTTCAGTATTGGTGTTTGACATTGGAGTTTCAGTGTCACTTTGAATTTCCTGTCTTTGTTGGTCTGTCATATGCTTTGTTACTTAAAATATATTTAAATGTGAAACTTCCTTATAATTAGTCACTTTTTAAAAATTAAGATCAGTCTTTTTTTCTTACTATTTATTAGTTTCTTCTTTAAGTTGATGGAGTCCAGACTTCTCATTTTTAGATATTTTAATTCTGAGCCACTCCAGGAATTTTCACTTTTTTATTTTGTTTTTGTTTGCAGACAATGTCTGTGCTGCTTCAAGGAGTATAAGCATTTGGAGATCTTTAACCAAGTAGTATGTGCGCTTATTAACTTAGTGATTGCCCAAGTTCAAGCTCTACGGGACCAGCTCTGTAAACATTGCACTATTAACATAGATTCAACATGGCAAGATCAGAATAACCAAGCCAATGAGCCACTGAATGTAGAAAGAGAGTCTCATGAAGAAGAAAATGGAGAACGACAAAAATGCATAGAGAAAAAGTTAGACTCCGCAAGAACTTGTATCCTGACAGAGGAAGAATCTGCAAAGAGCACTGATGCTTTTAGCTTATGGAGCACTGATGAGAAGGAAAAACTGTTGCTGTGTGTGGCAAAAATCTTTCAGATTCAGTTTCCTCTGTATACTGCTTACAAGCATAATACTCATCCCACAATAGAGGTATATCTTATCCTAACTTGTGCATATTTTGTTTTTTTGTGAAACACAATGTAGTTATCATTGAAGGATAGACTCTGCTTGGGTGGTTGTAGTTTTCAAACAGGGTGGATGGGGATGATTCAGCTTTCTCACTGAATTCACTGGGTCTTTCCATTGACACTTTCTGGGAGATGAACCACTCCCTTAAATACGTTCTTAAAAGAATTCTTGATTGGTCTAGGTGAAAGCAGTTAATAAAATGTTGGATATAATTGCATAATGTAAGTTACCATATAGTCACAGTAGCAGGAAAGCAAAAAGGAACCATAATTACGGCTTCCTTCCAAAAATAATATAATGTAGTTTAATTGCTTTTTGTTTAAATCTATTGTTATAAACAAAATTTACAAACTAAAACTTGCATGAGACTACACTTTTTTTGCTGTTCTATCATCAACTGCATAACTGTTATAACTGCAGTTCTGCAAACTTGACTTCTTTCTTTATAAGTTTTTCATTGTGATGTTACTTTGTTACTGCTAAATATATATATTTTTACATAATTTATTTTGAAAAATGCACCCTCAGAACTCTTCTTTTACAAACTTTTCATTCCCAGATATAGAGGAAATGCTTTTGTAGCTATATTGGGGACCCTAGATGTCAAATTAAAATAATTTTGTTCTTGAAAAGGTTTATTTTTAGTTTCACCTGTGGAAATCTGTTCCTGACTAAACAGAGCACCTTCTACACTTATATTGAGATATGAGTATATTTGCCGTTGTTAAGAAGGCTTATACTGAGAAAATGCATGAGAAGCCGTTAATACATTTATGTGGATGTTACAAAATATTGGCGCATTAAAATACAATTATCCAAAACCACAAACTTAAAGCTGTGTCACTGCTTTGAGTAGTTAAGCTTTCGGTTTCACATTATTACACTATTTGCTCTTAACTTGTAAAGATATACGTAAATGATACGTGATTTAGCATACGTGCTAGTGTGTTTGCATGAATTATATTCAGTCCTTGAATGAGTGGATCTCACCAGAATTGGCAATAAATGTTGGTTTAGTTAAAAATTATTAAACTGGGAAGAAGAGTGGTTTTTGTTTTGTTTGGGGCATATTTGAGTATCTTGCTATATTCAATATTCGATCATGTTGGAGTATAAATCTGTAAATTAAAATGTTAAACTGTGTTTACAAATATATGTGATCTCAAGTATATCTCTATTAATGAACCAGAGAATGTTAGGATTCCCAGTAAGACTTTCCTACCACATTTCAGCATGCCTTTATAATTCCTTTTAGACTTTATCATCATAAATAAATAGGTCTGTGATACAGCTGCCCACTAGTAGAGACCCGTGAGGGTAGGGTCTATCTTTTTGTCGTTCATACTGGTTAAAACTAATGTTAAAACTAAAGGGATTTTGCCTCTGTGCTTCATGGGGTTAAAAAAACTGAACTTGAATTTTTCTCCCTGCCTTCACAGGAACATGGCAGAAACAGCTCTGAATCATTTTTTTATGTATAAATAAACTTGCTTCACTTAGAGAGAAGACAACAACCTTCTTTTCTTTTTGGAAATATTTGTGTGTCTTATTTTTTGTCATTGTGCCAAGAAAAGTTAGAAATCTCAAAAGGGACATTGGCAGTATTTTTTTGGCTGATGTGCTGACACAGTGTAAGAAGACCAGCCGCTAACATAAGTTGGGTGGCTTCATTGTGGCTCACCAGTACTCTCAACAATATGACATCTTGAGTCACTGACCACTCAGATTAGCAAACACTTTATGCCCCGAATATATCAAAATCGTGGTCTGGAGAGAGAGACGAGAGAGAAGAAAACTTCTTTTGCTGTCTAGGCAAGTCAGAAAAAATGATTCCCACTTTCAGCTAGTTTCTCATACCAAATTTGTAATTTCTTCAGAGCAAGGATTAATATATCTGTGTTTGGAAATTCTAGCAGATTTTGATTTCTACCACAATATAATAATGATAATGACTAAATCCTTCAGTGGGTTTATGGGGAAATGTGAAGTGTGGTCAGTCCTTCAGAATGTTCTGTATCAGGTATAAACTGATGCTCTTACCACGTACTTGATGGAACCTTTGCAGATACTCTCACATCTGGGAGAAGAGAGATTTCTAATGGGGAGAATTCCCTTCTGTCAGAAAGGGTCACAAAACTGCAATATCCAACAAGAACGAGAAAACAAGAAAAAAGATGATCTGTTGGTGTATAAGCCTACTGGGGACTCTACTGTCCTGCCCTAAATCCCATAGGTTAGGGGACGTTTCTACCCCTTGAATTTTTTTTACTAGCAGCATTCATCTCTATTATAGCAAATAAGAGGTAAAACTGGAAGAGACTAATGAGAGTTATCTGAGCTGAACAGAGAAAACATCCTGAAGGAAAATTTCATTTAGGAACCAGAAAGGGTGCAGCTGATGATGAATGCCAGCCCAGAATATTGGGAGCCCCCATAGGCATATTGACAGCACAGAGGACCTGGCCTTCCAGGACAAAGAACTGGCATATACATTTGTTGGATTTGAGGGCAATAAGACCTCTGGACAAGTACACTTTAGTTCAGACAAGTTTGTGGTCGTGGTCTGTTTAAAATCCACAGGGACCACAAAAACAGAATGATGATACGAGAGTCTACCCTGCTAATCAGAGGAAAAAATCTCCTTTCTAGTGAATCTCTGTGTGTCTTCGGTCACAAGAATACCACAATTGGACTTGGTCAGTTGGAAGAAAACCTGCTTGAGGGCATAAATCTTGAAGGAAGAAACTTACATGGAAACAAACCTGTTTATCCCAATGAAAAAGTAATATCTGCTAACGTTCTTGATATCCAAAGAGAGGTCTTAGCTTGTGACACTTTTTTATCATATAGACATTCAGTCTTGCATATGCTGTTCATGGGACTGACAACTTTGACAGCAAAAACACTTCAAAAAAATCACGAGACCCAAACAAAGGTAATCCGGAGATCCATGAAATGGTTGAGATGCATGAGGTCTGCAGGCCTGGTGTGGCTGTCTGAGACATCTGTTAATTTTAATTGTCCTGCACCTAGGACCTTCTGTCAGCACTATTTGTTTATTCAGACTGAGATATGCAGAGAGTCTGTGAGATAGGTATTTCAGAAAGTACAGGATATGCTTCTGTCTAGAAAGGCATTTTTTCATTTTACTGGAAGTGATGACTTTCTGTAAGCCATGTAGAAGAAGAGACAAAAACACAAAGTGAGCTCCTGTTTTCCTTACCTTTTAAAATCCCTCCAGGCAGGACTAGACAATGAACTTTAAAGGAGTTAGCAAAACAGTCTTTAGCAGCTCAGTAGAGGTTAAAACAGTGAGGAAAGGCATCTGTCTACTTTATTTTTATGCTCCCCCAACATTTTGGCTCAGAATGAGGCAATTAGCAGCTCTGGTGGCAGTTCCCATATAACTCTTTTTCTAGTAGGATGAATTTTTTATAATTTTGTTCCCAAGGTTGTGTCTACCATCACACATCAATTAAGGTGTTTCACTTCTAAGGTTTTTTTTGCCGCCTTTGGTTCTCATAGGGAACTCTCTTCTGTTACTTGGCTCAAAAGGTGACCTTGTGGAAATCTCAATGTCCTGAGTATTCCGTTTAGAACACCAAGCAGGACTGTCAGGTTTTCAGGTTCATTCTAGCCAAGTAAGTCAAATCTTTTGTCTCTCCAATGCTGCAGAGATCTCTTGCCCCATTGTTTTCAGTGTTTACTCCAATATGGCTACTTCATAGGAAGAGAAGTCTTGAGACAAGAAGTATGCAAAGCAGCTACTTGACATTCCAGATAGTAGATAATGTTTTCACCTCTCTTAGACAGAATATCACTAAACTCTACGGGCTTAATAATCATAGACTTCCACTGTCTTTCAGCTGCCAGGTGCTAAGAGCAGTACTTTAACTGATGAACAGTTTCTATTTCCCTCAACAACTGATAATTTTCCCATGCATAATCTGTTTCTGGTAGTGGCATGGGCAGAGCACAGAAACACCCTTTTTCTTATCTATTGGCCAGAAAAATGTGTTTTAATACTTAAAAATAATTGACAAAGAACACTGTTGAGTGATGATTTGGAGTTCAACATGAAGGGGAAATATGTAGTATGTTTAGATTCCTATATTGTAACTTTAGTGAATAACTTAAAGTTTGATTCCATCACAACTAAAATACCCCCAGTAATGTAGTTTTAAATGATATTCTGGAAATTAGTCAATTTGAAATTAACTCCAAAAACTTCAGTTAAATTAAATGTTTAAAAACCTACCCTTCGCTCCCCTCACCCACCCCCCAAATTTAAAGGGAAATCGTGAACATGAAAACTAGTACATTTTTTTTTAAAGTAAAAATTAGTTTGATGGTGTTTCAGTAAGTTTTTTGGTTTCACAATCACATTTTACAATTTTTAAAAATGTTTTCTTGCTGTGTGAAAGATTCATACAAACAATATGGGAAATTGATTTAATGGGGGGGAACAGTAAAATAGACTGTCTACAAAATGCTATCCAGTGCGCAATGTAAACATATTAAAAGAAGTTATTAAACTCTTTAGTTATAGTAATCTTAAGTGTTACTTGCAACAATAATAGATTTAAAAATTGAGAGAAGGATGATTTGTAATTTGACAGTTTCCCTTTAAGGATACCAGATATAGGTTCTACAAGCTGTCAATTAGATATTTGTGTAAGAATGTTACAATTGGACTTGAAGTTTAATAAACTGAACTAGGATGACTAACTTTAAATTGTTTAGCTCTTGAATATTCATTAGGTTTATGATTATATGGTATATTCTCTGTTCATTTACCTATGGCAGTTCAGATGTTTGGGTACATTACTTTCCTGCTGGTAATGGAAACATCTGAATTGGTATAGAAGAACTCCAAGAAGGAAAACTATTAGGTAAGAAGTTTCCCCTTATGGCTGGAGCATTGTCCTGAGTTTATAAGTACATATTTATAAATACAATTAAAAAAATAGTTTAATCGGAAAATGCAAAAGTCAGTGTGGCAATTTTAAAATTAAAGAAACTTAAGCTGCTTGAGTTTTATAAAATTAGGTTTCTGGAGTGTGCATCATGAGTCTTTTGGTTTTGTTTCCTTCATACAATTTGTTTCTATTCCTACTGTTAGCTAATTATATTTATCTCTTTTTTCTTTTAAACCAGGATATTTCTGCCCAAGAAAGCAATATATTAGGGGCGTTCTGTGATATGAATGTAAGTCGTATATATTTCATTGATTCATAGACTTTAAGGCCTGAAGCGATCAAAATTATCATGATCATCTAGTCTGACCTCCTGCACATCACAGGCTACAAAACCTCACCTACCCACTCCTGTAATGCCTCCATAATCTCTAGTTGAGTTACTGAAAACGTCAAATCTTGATTTAAAGATGTCACATTACAAAGAATCCACCATTTACACTAGTTCAAAACAGTAAGTGACTAGTGCCCCATGCTGCGGAGCAAGTGAAAGCCCTCCAGGGTCTCTGCCTATCTGACCTGGGGGAAAATTTCTTCCCAACTCCAAATATGGTGATCAGTTAAACCTTGAGCATGTGGGTATGACCCACCAGCCAGACATTTGGGAAAGAATTCTCTGTAGTAACTCAAAGCCCTCCTCATCTAGTATCCCATCTGAGGCCGTGGGAGATATTTGCTAATAGCAGTCATGGATGGGTCATATGCTATTGTAGGCAATCTTATCATACCATCCCCTCCATAAACTTATCAAGCTCAGTTTTGAAATAAGTTAGATTTTTTTCCCCTGCACTACTCCCCTGGAAGGCTGTTCCAGAACTTCACTCCTCTGATGGTTAGAAACCTTCATCTAATTTCAGGCCTAAACTTATTGATGACTAGTTTATATCCATTTGTTCTTGTGCCAACGTTGTCCCTTAACTTAAATAACTTCTCTCCCATCTTTGGTGTTTATCCATCTGTTGTATTTATAGAGAGCATTATGAGATACAATTGACATGTTTTCGGTGACTGTAAAATCGTCATATTTATTGTTTTATAAATGTATGATACATTGATATTGCTTATCTGAATTCTTACCTTTATATGTATTTAGTTTTTTGTTTTCAATAGTAATTTGTTTTTCTTTTTAAATGAAACTTTTATATTCTTCTGTTTCTATAGGATGTAGAAGTACCATTGCACTTGCTTCGTTATGTTTGTCTATTTTGTGGAAAAAATGGCCTTTCGCTCATGAAGGATTGTTTTGAACATGGAACCCCTGATACATTGCCATTTCTTATAGCACATGCATTTATCACAGTGGTATCTAATGTAAGTATTGCCCTGAGTTGGTTACGTTTTTAAACCAAAATGCAACAAATATAAAGTGGGATAGACTAAGTCTGGGAAAATTTGAAGAAGAGAGCCCTGGAATCAGGAAAAAGTCACAATTTTCCCCTCATAGAGAGAAGAGTGTCTGGGGATTGCCCTGAGATCTGTTGGAGGAATAGTGGCATCTGTAGGATATCTTGTTTTTCCTTCTCTTCCCAGACATTCTGGTTGCAGCAAAACTAGGCTAGGACGGTATCCCTTGGTCACTGCTGGCAAGAACTGGAAGACTCTGGTAGAGGGAGTGGCATGAGGATGGGAGGGGATATCTTGCTCAGGAACATGGATGTAAAGGAAGACAGAATTTTGCCCATTAAATTTAACTGTAAATACTTAATGAGTGTAACTAAAATGAAATGCTGTATAATTACACTCTATGGGTAGGTCTACACTTACCTCCAGGTCCGGCGGTAAGCAATCGATCTTCTGGGATCGATTTATCGCGTCTTGTCTAGACGCGATAAATCGATCCCGGAAGTGCTCGCTGTTGACGCCGGTACTCCAGCTCGGCGAGAGGAGTACGCGGCATCGACGGGGGAGCCTGCCTGCCGTGTCTGGACCTGCGGTAAGTTCGAACTAAGGTACTTCGAATTCAGCTACGTTATTAACGTAGCTGAATTTGCGTACCTTAGTTCAAAATGGGGGGTTAGTGTGGACCAGGCCTTTGATTTGATTCCAATATTAAATACCGCATATACTCGTTCATTAGCCCGTTCGTTTAAGCCGACCCCCCCCCAAGATGTTTAGGTAAAAATAGCAAAAACTGCATGACCCTTTCATAAGTTAACCCTATATTTCAGGGGTTGGCAAACTTTGGCTCCCGGCCATCAGGGTAAGCCGCTGGTGGGTCGGGACGTTTTGTTTACTTGGAGTGTCTGCAGGCATGGAGCCCCTCAGCTCCCTGTGGCCACGGTTCACCGTTCCCAGCCAAATGGGAGCTGCGGGAAGTGGCGCGCCATTTCCTGCAGCTCCCATTTGCTGGGAACGGCGAACCGTGGCCACAGGGAGCTGAAGCGCTCCAGGTAAACAAAACGACAATGTATTAGATATTCAATTCAATGATTCCATAGAGTTTAAAATCATCAAATTTTGGTGTAGACCTGTTTATAAGCCAACCCCCACTCTTTGATGAGTCACTTTTTTTTACCAAAAATATTCGGCTTATGAATGAGTATATATGGTACTTTGGATCAGATCCTGGGTGTTCCCCTCTCCCATATTCCTGTTACTCTCAGGTGCCACAGGGTCGCTGGAAAGCTGTTCTAAGTAGGCAGCTGAGATTTAATCTTTTAGAGCTGTGATTGGAAGAAAGCCAGCACTGGTGAGTCTACACCTGCTCCTGGTTTGGGGGGGATTCTCAGATGAGCTAAAATGTAGAAGGACTTGGTTAGGGAATGCAGAACTCCCTCAATCTTGAGCTGTTGGTGTAGTCCTGAGAAGTCATTTCAGCTGACATGATTTAGAGTAGCTCCAAGGCTATAATTCAGGGGTTCTCAAACTGGGGGTCATGAGCTGTCAGCCTCCACCCAAAACCCCACTTTGCATCCAGCATTTATAATGGTGTTAAATATATAAAAAAAGTGTTTTTAATTTATAAGGGGGGGTCGTACTCAGAGGCTTGCTATGTAAAAGGGGTCACCAGTACAAAAGTTTGAGAACTACTGCTATAAGTTATACTGGGGTTGAAATCAGCTGCTGGCAGCTGCCAGAATGGGGAAATATAAAAATGCCTTTAAGTTGTTGTCCTTTTCTTTCCCGACCCTTCCCTAGTACTGCCTCAATTATAGCTCAGCCAGATCCTTTACCATGAATGTCACACTGACTTTAGACTTAAGTCTGTAAGTTAAACATAGATGCATAGATGTAGATTGTATTAGGCAAAGTAGATTCCTTTTATATTTACTGGAATATATATATTCTTATGCAATAGTTCATTGAATTAGGTAGGGTGGTGCTTCTGTATGTAATGCTCTTTATTCAGCCAGGTGTAACAAAATATTTGATGTCTAAGGCCCTGCTTAATTCGCAATATTGCGGAAATTGCAGATCCTGCAAAATTAGGCTTCCACCTCAATTTTTATGCTGAATTCACGTGTACGTATGTTACATTTTAGCAGTCAGCCCTACTGACACCCCCACGCATGGCGGGGGCTCTCGCTGTCAGCCCTGGGGTGGTGGGAGCTCTCTTAGTTCTGGGGACCGCAGTTTTCTGTGTCTTGTCCACAACTCAGCTGCAATTATTTGACAGTCATCCCAACAATTCAAGTAGAGCCTTACTGATGTCTCTATTTATAATTACTATGGACAGTAATGCTGTTCCCTTTAAAATATAAGACGTTTGATTAATTATAAATGTGACAAATAATGGTCTTGGCAAGATAAATTTGCTAAATGAATTTTCTTTCACTTAACAATGGTACATAAGTTTAAATGTTTACTTAAATCCTTTCCCCTCGCCTTTCAGGATGGTGCACATATGCTTGATTGCTCATGAAATGAAATACTGAACTGCCTTTAAACAGAAGTGCACATTTACCATAGAAGTTTTGCCATCATTTTTGTGGAGAAAATCACACACCTTTCTAGTACAAACCCAATTACTATGTGACTTTTTGTCCCATCCACTTCAGTTTATGGGTTTCACAGATAAATTAATGCAAGATTTATGAATGGCCCTGTGAATGATAGCCCAGTAAGCTAATTTGCAGGGTAGCTCTGCAGTCTCAGCTGTTATATTGTAATTGGTGTGTAAACTCAGAACTGTAGTGTAATGTTAGTTAAATGCATTTTCACAGTAGTAGCAGCTCTTGAGAATGGCAGTTAACCAGCTCTGATTGTAAAGTTTCTTAGGTACACTGAGTCTTGATTTTAATTTGGAGGCCTGGGGAAGGGTATATTGTTTTGTCTCCATAACCTGTCTAGCTACTATATAAGCGATTAAAAAATTGTTTTTCTGAAAACGATTAGATTATGGAGAGACTGTAATCCTTCCATAGTCAGGTTAGCAATAAGAGTCTCATAATAAACATTTTGGTCACCACCATCCTTGTATATTTAAAATAAAGATTCTGCTTCCAAATTTTACAGTTAATTCACAATGGCAATTTCATTTTTTTCTGAACATTTCAAGGAAATCCAGCAAGTAGTTTTTTTTCAGGTGAAGGCAATAAAAAATGTCTCCCTTTGGAAATGTTTGAAAATTGTCTGGTTCATGTTCCTCTGTATGGAAAACAGATCAAATATAACTAAGGATTCACAAGGGATATATCCATCATTAACTTGTGAACATTTTAGTTTTCAAGGCAATAAAATCCAATCTATTCTTAAGGGCATTAGTTAAAAATTAATGATATAAAAACAACCATACTGGGTCAGACCAATGATCCATCTAGCCTAGTATCCTGTCTTCTGACAATGACCAGTACCAGATGTTTTAGAGGGAATAAACAGAACAGGGCAACTTAGAGTGATCCTTTCTCTGTCACTCAGTCCCAGCTTCTGGCAGTTGGATGTTTAGGGACACCTAAAGTATGGAGTGGCATCCCAGATCATCTTGGTTAATAGCCATTGATGGACTTACCTGCCATGAACCTAATGTAATTCTTTTTTGAGCCTTCACAACATCCCATGGCAACAAGTTCCACAGGTTGACTGTGTGTTGTGTGAAGAAGTACTTCCTTTTGTTTGTTTTAAAGCTGCTGCCTATTAATTTCATTGGGTGACCCCTAGTTCTTGTATTATGTGAAGAAGTAAATAACACTTCCCTATTCACTTTCTCCACACCATTCTTGATTTTAAAGACATCTGTCTCATCCCCCCTTAGTTGTCTCTTTTCTAAGCTGAACACAGTTCCAGTCTTTTTGATCTCTCTTCATATGGAAGCTGTTCCATACCCCTAATTATTTTCTTTGGCCTTCTCTGCATCTTTTTTAATTCTAATACGCCTTTTTTGAGATGGGGGCGACCAGAACTGCACATGGTATTTAAGGTGTCGGCATACCATGGATTTATATAATGGTGTTATGATATTTTCTGTTTTATTATCTATTCCTTTCTTAATGGTTCCTAACATTCTGTTAGCTTTTTTGACTGCTACTGCACACTGAGCGATGTTTTCAGAGCTGGTTCATCCTGTGCAAAGATGTCCCGAGTAGGACATTTGATTTAGAAGTCCTCTTTAATCTTTTCATCTACACTACTGCACTTTGTGGGGCTGCGCACAGTGCTTCACGAATGAGTCAGCAATGGCTACAGTAGGGAGCTACTGCCAGATCCAAGTGATGTGGTCCGTCATGGTGGAAGAGAAAGAGGCCAGTGAGTTTAAATACATCTGATATTACTGTTGTGCAGTACCTCAGGGTGAAGTGCTGTAAGGTTAGAGCTCCTGTTTGCCTCATTGCTTGGATGTTCAATTTCTGCTTTCAGAAATGCAGGATACACATTTTTTTCTCTTACTGAAAAGTGCACTGGGGATTGCAGGGGGTTTCCAGGAATTGATATTGTGAGGAAGAGAGCACAGACGTGTAGATCAGCTCTTTCCCTGAAGGTGTGCCAATATCAGAAATGATGTGGCTTTGCCTACCCCTTCCGATACAGACATGTACATATTCATGGATGTAGCTGGGATGCTGGGGGAGGAGGAGTTAAGGGTAGAGTGAGGATCGTGAGTAGGGCCAGCCTCTCGCACTAACTCCACAACAGTGGGTTGCCTCTCAAAGGGTGGACTAATGAATTTGGGGATAGGTGGATAGTGACGGGTAGTGTGAATTCAACTCGTTTGCAGTGGGGCATCCCAGAGTGTATTGCTTCTCACAAATTCTGTATATCTGTCTTTTGGGCATCCCAGTCCTTGGCAGAGGGAGTATGAGATAGTTGCTTTGGTTTTTCCCAGAATGCATTGATACAAATAAGGTTAGCAGCCTGCTAAATATGGATGTGCAAACATGATGGCAGAAAAGCTGCTCTGCGCCATGTTACATTTAACTGGGTAAGATGGTCATGCCTCTAACTGGCAACAAAATCACAATTGTAGTTGTAATGTGGATGAGCCCAAAGTATCAAATATTCCACAAAACTCAAATAAATGGGTATGATCAACATGGCCAAAAAGGATGTAATCTTCTTGTAGACCCCTTAGAAGACAAAAAATCAATTACGAATGGAGGGCAGAATAGGAGCTGTAGAATGCATTAGGTTGAAGAAACAGGAGGGAATACAAAGTTCAGAAATGAAAGACATTAAGGGAGAGCAGTGTATGTTGTTGGTTTACACTAATTTTTATCTTATTTTTCCTGTTGATTAGCAGAAAAAAATGTGACTCTGGATCTGGGTTAATTTATTAGCTGTAGAAAGTTGCTCCAGACTATACTTTTGAAAATTGGAAAAATCTGATTAGAAGTTATACAAGTTCACAAAAAGCCAACAACCTGAAAGCCTTATTTCTTTAGAGAGAGTTTTGCATTTTTAAACCTTATTACTGGCCTTTGCATTTTATGTGTTCTGCATAAATTTATATAATTACAGTTTATCTATTTTTGTATTTGCTTTATAGATCAGGATATGGCTACACATCCCTGCTGTCATGCAGCACATTATACCGTTTAGGACCTATGTTATCAGGTAAGCTTTAAATATAACAAAAAGTTTCATTGTTTGACAAAACACATTTAGAACTTCAGATTGTACTAGAACTCAAAGTTTCTCAAAGTTCAAGCCGTTTCTTTGTTTAGTCCACATGCTCAGGATTTAACTGATAGCCATATTTGGCGTTGGGACGGAATTTCCCCCGGTCAGATTAGTGGAGACCGGGGGGGTTTTCGCCTTCTTCTGCAGCATGGGGCACGGGTCACTTGCAAGTTTAAACTAGTGTAAATGGTGGATTCTCTCTTAACTTGAAGTCTTTAAATCATTTTTTGAAAACTTTAGTAACTCAGTCAGAGGTTAGAGGTCTATTACAGGAGTGGGTGGGTGAGGTTCTGTGGCCTGCAATGTGCAGGAGATTAGACTAGATGATCATGATGGTCCCTTCTGACCTTAAAGTCTGAGTCTTTAACATTTCAGCAGTCAGAATCAAAGTATCATTTAGTTTGGGGCAAATCCATGTATCAGTAACTTTAGAATTGGCTTTAATAGTCCCAATAAGACTATTTTAAATATTGGATTCACTCCTATTCTAAAGTTTCATTGCAGGATCAATTGTAATACATTTGCACTGTATGCAGCATCATTCATAGAAAGATTACAAAAGATTTTTAGTGATACTACATAGAGTTTGAAATGATCTTATTTATCATGATTTCCTATATTGATTTTTAGAAATTCTCAAGGCAGAATTGTAAATGCACAATAATCTCAAAATCTTAATCTAGAACTGCTGAAGCGTGTCTCTGAAGTTTTTAATCATGTCTCACTTTCCACATTTCCTGCTGGCAAGAAGTCAAATATCATTAAGACTGTACTCATTCTTTTGTATCGCTAATTATGTCTAGTCCTGATAATTTTGGATATCAGGCTGTCTACAATGAAAAACTCTACAATTAAATTATTTGTCAGGATATTTTATTGTTATGGGTGCATTAGTTATATTAGTTTTCCAAGAATCTAAGGGATTGTCTATACACAGTTATTGTACTGCTTTAACTATATCTGTTTAGAAACAGTTAGAATGAAAGTGACACAATCCTCTAGTTATACTGAGATAAAGGTGCTTATACCAGTACAGCTTATTTCCTAGGGTATAAGCATCTTTATACCAGAGTAACTGGGCCCACACTAGGGATTGTACCACTTGAAGTATATTGCTTTAAAATCACACCCCTAACCAAAAGAGTTAAATTGGTACAGAAAATGTGTATTGCTCAGTGGTAAATTTTTATATTTTAAAAAGAATTTTTTTTTCTATTCCATGCATGTGCATGTGTGCATACACATAGTCACAAGTTGCTCTACCACCTAGGTGATGTAGACATAATGCACATAATCTTAACTCAATATCCCTAAGATGTTTTGAACACTAAAAGCCATGAAACATGATCTGTAGTATGAAATTTGATTGTGAACATGGATGTTAACAGTATTATTAGCTAAGGCGGAGCTGAACACCGGTTAATTGTAAGTATAATCAAGGACAAACTGTGTTCAGCTAACACTATTACTGAGAATTTTGTTCCCAAAGTTAATTTTTGAAGTGTACACAAATATGAGTTACTTCAGCTATAGAATGCAGTAACACTTCCTACATGCATATGGGTGAGGGAGCTGATGTGGTCTCTGGCTTGTTTGCTACTGGACTGATTCTGAAAATAGGCAAATATCGCTTTTTTTAATTGTCTGGGCACGGTAGTGGGTGAACTTTAGTTTCCCACCCCTTGTCTGATTTCCAGAGTTCTATATGTGGAGGTCTGTCCCCAGTTGCTTAAGATTGAGAGAATTCCATACATGGCTCTTCTCGTGCTCTTCCCTGGCTTATCTATTAGCAAGGAAAGCACTCTATGGTCCTGATGATTATTCACACAAATGTGTCTTTATGCTAGTTTGGCAATGTTGAGGAGCCTTAAAATATGTTGACTTTAAGGCCTCTACATTACAAGAGTAGTTTAAAAGGGCATTAGCATAAATGAGAATCAGGCCCAATAACTTTACATTTCTTCTCTGACTGGTTAATGTTTAGACCCATGATACAAGGCAAAAAAAATGGAGTATAAATGTGGTTAAACCACTTTAACCTTACCTGTGGCCATAAAAGCTTTTAGCACAGGCTTGTCCAGTCTGCATGCATAGACCCAAATTTAGAATGTTGGCAAATGTATGAATTTTTAACACTTTTCAGTGGTGCTGACGAAACTGGTTAGAATTTAGTTCAGCTATGGTCAAATTTAAACCATACTGAAGGACAGTAGTTAAATTGTTTTTTTTCAGTATTGTAGTTAGTATCTACTTTACAATTATTTAACTGTGTTTGAAACCAGGTTGAGAGATGGTTGCTTCCAAATGTTGCTCTTGTCCATATACAATACGGTTAGGGCTCCATGTCTGTCACGGTGGTTGCGTAAGTCACGGATTCCATGACTTTCTGTGACCTCCGTGACTTCTGCAGCGGCCAGTGTGGCTGATCCCAGGGCCACCCAAGCAGCGGGCCCCGGGGACTGCTCTAGCAGCGGCCAGTGCGGCTGGGCCTGGGACAGCCTGAGCAATAGTCCCAGGAGCGGCGGGAACAATGGCAGGGGGGCAGCTCCCCAGCCGGCCACAAAAGGGCCGGCTGTAGGCTGACCGGGGGCGGGGCCCCGCGCGCTGGGGAG